TGTGATGTCCTTAGATGACAGCACTTGCTCAACTGAGAATCCAGAGTTTTCTGCAGTGCGGAGGTGGTGGTCAGCACAAAGAACTCAGACCCCTACCTCTTAGCCCTTCCCTTTCTGGGGATGGTGTAAAGAGGCACATCACATAAAATGGTCACAGAGCAGACTGCCATGCAGCCTAGCTAGAACCAGGAGTCTGGTCTTGTTGCTGTGTTCCCTGGTAAGAGATCATGGCATTATTTCTTAAATGGCTAAGTGAAGGTAGGAGAGTTGGGGAGGGGAGGAGGGAGGTCCTCTGTTCTGCCAATTGATAGTCTACCTCTGTGTCCTGATTTCTCAAGCAAGAATGAAAACCTCCATATTGAAACGAAAGGGTTTGGAATCAGGGTCTTTGTTCAAATCCTGTCCTTACCACTTCATTAGTGTACTCTTGGACAAAATTGCTAATTCTCTCCATTTGCAGATGTGTAAAATAGGACTGACAAGATATTTGTAGTGTGATTGTGAAGAATTAGGCACATTAGCACAAGGAAAACTAAAAACTCATTAATATGTTTGTGTTAGCCTGTTTGTGTTGCTATAAAAGAATACCTGAGATTGGGTAATTTATAAGGAAGAGTGTGTTTGGCTAACGGTTCTGCAGGCTGTACACAACATAGAGCCAGCATCTGCTTCCAGTCAGGGCCACAGGAAGCTTACAATCTTGACTGAAGACAAAGGGGAGCCAGCATCACATGGTGAGAGCAGGAGTGAGAAGAGAGGAGGTACTAGGTTCATGTAAACAACCAGATCTCACATGAACCCATGAAGCAAGAACTCATTACCTCGAACACCAAGCCATTCATGAGGAGTCCACCCCCATGGCCCAAACACCTCCCACTAGGCCCACCTCCAACACTGCATTGTCACATTTCAGCATGAGATTTGGAGGGAATAAAACATCCAAACCATATCAATGTTAATGGTTAATACTGAGGACTTAAAGCCGGGAACTTCCAGTCCACGCAGCTATGCCCCCAACCATGGCAATTGTAGCACTCCTGCTCTGGACTGCAGCCCCCTGGTCAAACCAGGGGCTTTTCATGCAGATGGAGGCTGGCTGCTTTCATGGCAATGGACCTTGAGCCTACCTGAGCCCTGGAGGCAAGCTGCCAACCCAGTAAGAACCTCAGAGGCATGAAGAAACTTGCCACATAAAACATCCCTGATGCCCAGAGGCAAGAGACATAAATATGGGGACATGGGTATAAGGACGTCAGTTTCCCTTTTTTTCACTCTGTGGTTCCTACATCTTCTGTCTCTTTTCTACCCTACCACAGTCCTGTGCTCAGAATAAATATTCATTTGACACTGGTTACCAAGCACTTTCACATATGAGAGACAAGTTGCTAACTCAAAGTCACACTGATGCTGAATCCTGCCCTTCCCATCACATTCCACTGACTGAGTTTTCCCATTCATCTTGTGGAGGTGTTACCCAACCAAGTGTGCTATGCTCACTTCTCAAACTGCTATTGAGATCCACTAGGGAAGATCAGAACGAAACTGAGTAGCAACAATTGATTTAAAATCCCAAATTGGGCAGGGCATGGTGGCTCATGCCTGCAATCCCAGCACTTTGGGACGCCAAGGCGGGCGGATCACCTGAGGCCTGAAGTTCGAAACCAGTCTGAGCCAACATGGAGAAATCCCGTGTCTACAAAAAATACAAAATTAGCCGGGCGTGGCATGCCTGTAATCCCAGCTACTCAGGAGGCTGAGGCAGGAGAATCACTTGAACCCGGGAGGCAGAGGTTGCAGTGAGTGGGTCAATATCACACCATTGCACTCCAGCCTGGGCGACAGAGCAAGACTCCGTCGCAAAAAAAAAAAAAAAAAAATCCACATTGAAGTAAGTGTTAGCAGACTTCATCTCCAGGAAAGGGAAGATACTTAAATAGTTAACACAATATATTTAAAATGAGTGGGAGAACTTCCTCCATCAAATGCTGTTGAAAACGTGTGAGTGGTTGTCATGCCCCAGACATCAAGGAACCCATCCATGAGGCCTTCCCACACAGACCGACCTCAGGAAGGGAAGGAGGAGGTAGGCCATTCTGACAGCCACAACCCGAGTTGAGGAAACAAGCAGAGGAACACAGATAGTCTACATACAGTAAAAGGTGACAGGAGGTAAGCTGCACACAAGGGAAGCCGAGATGGGTTGGAGGCAATTAAGGGTGTGTTACTGCCTCTGTGGCCAAGAGGTGAGTGCAAAGCCCTACATGGTGCCCTGTTTAGAGAAGGCTATTGTTTCAAACATATTTTACTTGGTCCCTGGAGGCAGCATGAAACTGTGAAAGAAAGAGCCTTACCCCTTTTTTCAAGGAGCTCCAGACCACAGTTACGGGTTGGGTGTGGGTGGTTGCCATTCGTTCATTTATGCCTGTCTGATATGGAGCCTCCCTCTGTTACCAGCCCTGTGCACTCAAGTGCCTTGCAGTCCAGTGAGGATTAACTGTAGGTAAGATGAGATGATGGGCATAAGTGTAACTGCTGAGGAGGCTTCATAGAGGGAAAGGTGATAAGAACTGAGCTTTTCTGGCATGAGGAGTTTACCAGGCAGGAGAAGTAGAGACGCTAGGCTAGGCAAATAGGATGCAGCCATAATTCTGCGGAGAAACAGGTGTTGAACCAAGGCAACTCCATCTGGAGACATGTATAAGAAAGATTAGGAGATGGAATCTCCATCTTGGTCACTTACTTGGTCCTTTAAGACAGAAATGGGACTGAGAGTCTCTTAAATACTGGAGTTGTCCTGTCTCCTTGGGCTGATACCCTGAACTGTCACATTTGGGTGAATAACACATTAAGGGGTAGACGGTCAGTTTGGGGGAATAAACTAAGTGACTAGGTTGCGGTTCCTCCTCCCGACTAAGCAGACCTCCTAGTGAGTGGTCTTGGGTTGCCCTGTGAGCCCTGAAGCTGTGAATGGGCCCCACAGATACTCTAAAGCCAGGCGTCCATGTGTGCCCGGCTGGGGATCTAGGCCCCCCTGGTCTACCTAGGAATCTGAGTCTTGGTGGTCTGAGACACCTGGGGGACGACGTATCCCGGAGAAGGGACCAGGATTAAAGGCCACTCCCCAGGCTGCCCGGAGGAGGCTAGAAGGAAGGCGAGGTAGCCGCAGTCCCAGGGAGGGTCTCACCCCTTGCTCCAGGGATGCGTTCTGGCGGGCCTGGCTGTGCGAGATCTGGGCTAGTGGCTTTGGCTGCGAACGGATTAGGTCTGATCCGATTAGAGCCTGGGCCGTCGGCTTCGCCCCCTTGCCAGGCTCTGCCAACGCCCGCCCCTCCCTGGTGGAGACCCGGAGACCTCCCTGAGAGCCTTCCCGCCCGGAACACGGGATTGGTGCAGAAATTCGAGAGGCTCCATGCGCGCCGGGCCTGGCTTGTTTCCACAGTGGGGGCTCTTGCTTCCGCCCCCTGCGGCTCTTCTGAGCCCCGCCCCGACCTTGCGGGTATCTGGGCCCGCGACGTCCCCGCCTCCATGCTTGCCGCGTGGCGGGTGGGTTCCTCCGGGTC